GCTTAAGAAATCTGACACCATTCAAGGCGCAAAGCTGTATTCATGGCAGCAAATAACAGGGATTCAATTATACTTGCTCCTCCACAAACTATTTTCTAACCTTTTAGGTGTTGTCTCCCTTAAATGCCAAGTGAGCCAAAGAATTAAAAAAAAAAAAAGGTTATTTGCTCAGAAATTATGGTCAGCACAGTACAATTCTATGGAAGGCAAAAGGGCAGGCAATGTCCTGAACTGCATACTGACTGAAGATGGGAGAAACTTAGTTTACCTTCACTGTTTAAGCAAAAGTATAGGAGGCATTATCCTGGAATTGCATTGCTCCACCTCTTTCACACCAATATACATAATAAAAAGAAAATTAGAAATTTTCAAGGTCAAGTGACCAAATATCCATGACCAATTTATGATTAGCAATTCACTCTTGGGTTCAACTCAGATTTTACTCTCGCTAAGACAAAGGAAGCAGCATGGCAGCCAGCCTTGAACACTTTTCTCATTGCCTCTGCTAAACAAAAGCACTGAATCTGGTTATATTTTCAGTTAGCCCAAGGGGGTTCTTTGAAAAGCAAAATGATTACTAATTTAGTTTATCTACACAAAAGAGAGTACAGAATTTTTAACTGCACTGTGAAAAGTAAGTTGAATGCTTCCTTCTGAGAGAATTTCAGCTCTAAGTATCCCTAGGTCAACAAACTCTTGTTGTTTTCAACATGTGCTGCTTTAAATGGCATGCATTAATGTGCATAAGTTGTAAGAAATGGCTATTGCAAGCAGGAGTTCCTTAGTTGATGAATGGTTTGTCTTTATCACAAACAGTTTATTTCCAATTCCCATAAAATTACATAGTGCATCTAGACAGTTTGACATCAATCTATAAGCTGTTCCTTAAATCCCCTTCACTAATGTAGAAACAGAAGGTGGTAGACTTCTGTGTTTCTATTGTCTTTTGAATCTGTAATCTGTAGGCCCACAAGTGTAACTTTCCTATGAAAAAAACCCCAACATACAGAAACGAGATATAAAGATAGCATAGCAGGGAATAGTCAAAAATCTGTTAGAGGGAAGTCATTTGAAAGAATCAGCAGATACATGAAGAAAGGTAGTGCTCTTAAATGATACAAGCTCCTGTGAGATAAAAAATCCTCTCACGGGTTAGCAGTGGCTAAAGTAAAATAAAAAGCAAACAACCAGTTTTCATGCATATAAAGTTAAGGAAGTAATCACTAGTTTGTGTTGCCTGTCAGCAGTATGCCCATGTTAGCAATGAAGAAGGGGGTATCTATAGAGTCAAACAAGTGGAGCTGAAGATGTAGGGGCAACACGACAGGTATTTTCTGGGTAGAGAGAAGTACTATATTTTGGCTCTAGTTCGGTCCAAAGGGCAGACCGCCTGCTATGGGTTACAGCTCACCCTCTCATTTAGTTTTATCCAAGGGAAATACAGTTTGTCCATCTGGGGTTTGCTCTGCAATATGGCCCAAAGAGCTGTAAGTGAGGGTCCAAAGTGATTCAACAAAAAACGATTGTAGATGCACAGACTAATGAATTAAAAACATTGAAAAGTGAGATGGTGAAGTCTGCTGTAGTAGTAATCACCAAAAAAAATCTTCATTTTTGCCAACTGTAAAATTGGTAGGCTGCTGAGAGCTCAAGATCTTGAATGAGAAGTTAATGAAATCAGTGTTTGATAAGCAACCTCACACTTCATGCATGTAGAGAAACACCCCCCACACACACCCCCACCCCGCTCCCCTGCAGAGCACAGAGATGGACTCTAAACAAAGTATTTGCACTCAGGAAAGACATCACGTATCCTTCTCTGAAAACATTAGCTCACTGTTCACTGAGAGTCAAACACCACACAAAAAGCTAGGAAGCACCAGAACAGGACTACAGAACCAGAACCTCTGTGCAGATGTCTGATTCTTTTGGGAACTTATCTGGAATTTTTAGTGCATTTCTGGTCAGCCCATCTCCAAAAGGTATGGTGGATCTGGAAAAGGTGTAAGACTGGCAAGTTAACCAAAACTGGGAAGACTTTGCTCTCACTAAGGCCAGAACTGACTAATGTTCAAGCTGTGAAGAACCAACAGGAGCACAGGCACACCCAAAACCAAAAATCTCAGGGAGAAGGTGTATATATTAGATTATCACTAGCTATGTTGGATACCACCAGAAGCAGAGACACCTTCTTTTAAATGTTTTAAGGAACAAAACAGTACTTCTTCAAGTGGCACAAAGAAACTTTGGAACTTCTTGTGGTAAGGTAATGTGAAGGCCAAACATTCAAAAGGGGATTCAGAAGAGAATTGAACAAATTTGATAGGTCTATAAAGAGGTGTTAAACATAATAGATGTGAGTGCAGTTTTTCAATTCAGGAAATTCCACCAATCCAAAGTCTGGAATGTATTCCAGAAGACAGCTCACTCTCTACTGGTCCAAACTTTGATGGTCCTCCTAAGTTTATACTTTAGTCCATTATTTGGGAGGATGAGTAATCAGATGCTTTGTATGATCCATTACTGCTACAGCCATGTGATCCTATCTGAATGCCTTTGCATAGGTATCACTCATATAATGTTTTAACAGACTTTTTTTCCCCTTCTGTTTTCAAGACAAAAAGATTAAAAAAGAGCAGAATGTTTTGAAGTTTCTTAGATGGCATCAAATGTTCCTACTGGGAAAAAAGGACAATATCATCTGTTTCTTCCATTATATGTGGGTTGGGTTTATTGTCCTAATGTGGTTGTAATGAAAAAAAAAAAAGGGTGGGCAGGGATTAGGGAAGGAAGGGGGGAAATAACAAAGATAGGAGAATGAGGGCCTAAAGCATCGTAAGATCCTAAGGTGTTCAAGGGATCCCTAAAAAATAACTTATTTCTGAAACTCACCTCTAGCTTTTTGGGCTACTGCTGATAAAAAGCATGGATGAAGAGGGCAGTATCTGGGTGAAGCAAATATTTTTCAGAACTCTGGTTGTATAGAATTCCTCCCTAGTTTTCTAAACTGCACAAAGAACATAACTGTGTGCTAGGCAAAAAAAACCAACAAAACCAAAACCCAACAACTTAATGGACAGTCAGAAACTAAGGTTCCCATTTCAGTTGTTGCTCTGGAAAAGACTGTGGTACATCACCTGATGTCCCAGCCTTGTTTGAGTCTAGTTTATTTTAGAATTATGGTGATTGGAAAAGGGGGAATTTCACCAGAGTGCTGAAAAGCCATTGGCAAAAGAAAGAGATAGTTAAGAAGTATTTACAGGAACTTCTCATGCTGTAAAATGTTGTAGCTCACATGTACTGACTTTTTAGTAAACAATTCATGTAGCTTTTCATTTATAACATCTACTGTGACTGCAGGGAACACAGAATTCTGCAAAACAATTCTAGGAAAGTCTGCTAAATCCTGGTGCTTTCAAAAATTAAACGGGGGAGTAACATTCTCATAATCTTATCAACCTCCAATATATTTTCATTTTTTGAAATAAAGTTGCTAATATAAGGGCTTCTTTTCTACATGTTCTCTTTTCCCTCCTCCACTGCAAGCTCAGACATTAAAATTTTGGAAAATACTAAGCAATACCAGGAGGAGGAGGAGGAGGGGGAAGTGAAATCATCATTATCAACTGATGCATCCAAACGTAGGACATTTTAAAAACATTAATGATGTTTAATGCACTGAAATAATAAGAAGCAAATGCAGGGAAAAAAACCCAGAAATTCACATTAAGCTACTCATAAGTCTAAACAACTAATGAAACTCAAAACTAAAAATAATTTGCTACCTTATTTTTCTATAGCAGCGATAAAATAAGGCATGGAGTTTTCTAGAGCTTTTTAGACAAGTTAAAATAATTCACTATGGCTGAAGAAGAAACTGATGATACAATTTTATCATGGATAAAAAAATCAGTATGTCTCCGTGTTATTAAACGTGCTCTACTATTGTTTGCAGTTACACCTCAAGATGAAAACTAAACTGCATACAAATGCAGAGAACACAATGAGAAGAGAAAATAGTTCAGCTCAATCTTAAAATTGTTCATCTATTCACATACAAAGAAATATTAAGAGCAAATGAGTGTGTTATTTAACTTTCCTACGTGGAATGAAGAAATAATCTAACACTATGTACTTTAAATTACTTCCAACAGCTAAACTCTTCATTTGTCTCTTTACTGGAGGACACTGAAAGTCTGTTTATAGATTTCAGCCAAAGATTTTGCACCTAGCTACAGGTTCAACTCAGACTGCAGTGGACCTTTCCTACAAACAAGGTGAGAATGCTCGTTGTCCTGGAAGAGGGAAAACTTCAAAGGGGTAATGGATATTTTAGCAATTTTTGGTTTTTTTTAGTTTATGGGAATGAGTTTACTAAGGCTGACTTCTTCCCACATTAATGCTCATTTCTGTGCTTGTTGCAGTTGCTTTCTAGCTATGAAAAACATAAGTTATTTCTCAAAAACTGTTTTATTGAATTCACATCCAGAAAATAGTTTTGTCTCCCACAATGGTGCTTTATAAAGATGTATGAGCGATGACTGGATTAAATCCAGAGTCTATAAAAAGTCTGAGAAGAATGTGTCGGAAATAAACTAGCATCAAACCTTCAGCAGCCATATTTAAATTGCCTACAGATGCAAATATCTATTTTATTTCTAAATCCCAAAGGTTAACTCTTGCTGCACAAACTGGCTGATTACACACATGACCCACCCTGATGCTCTGGGTGAATATTCTGGAGATGTATTTTCAAGTGTCTAAATATCTGTATAAATCTTGCCTTTAAATGTCTAAAATAGCATAACCCTCAGTTATGCCATTCATTAACTTTAACTCTCCCAGTTCTTGTTGGCTTTTGTTGTTGTTGGGTTCGTTTGATTTTTTTTTTAAATATTCCTCTAGCTTTACTTTGTTGTGCTTCTAAACACAGAAACCAAAAACAAGACAAGTCCTTGGACGGAGAGGGGTGGATGGCAGGCAGTAAGAGTCTCACATACCTCTTGTTGTGCATACCTTTGAACACTTCATTGAGAAGGTTTTCTTGGGAGGATAAAACTCTGGTTGTGGGTCAAAATACTCCCGTGCTGCTCCTGAGGTTTTAGAATAAGGGTCTGAGCAAACAGTAGAAGTTCTTGAGTGCTGGCCACCTCGAATGTCTTCTGTTGATCTACAAGGGAGAAAATAACTAATGTTTGTTAATTAAATCATACTCTCTCCTGAACATTAGAACATGAGAAACCATCCTCTTAGTGGAAGCAGCTAGCCTGCTTCACAGGCATCTGATGTTTTTTCTTGCCTGTTTTGAAAGCAAATATCCCAAATACTTGCATAAATCCACGTTCACAAGGATAGTTGCACTCTATGGCCCTTAGTTTGGAAAAATTATGTCCTCACTGGATAGGCTGGCCAAACTGTTTAGGTTACTAGCAAAAGGCAGGCAGGAGGAACAACAGCTTTTTCATGAAAAACAAATGTTTTTAACTAGTCCATAGCAGCCCAGATAATAAGTTCGTACTTCCAACTACTGTGTCTCACAAGGATGCTTTTTAAAAGAATAAAAGCTATTAAAAGAAACAGATAAAGATTTTAAATTGGGAAAAAATAGCCTATTCAAAGTTCTTGAGGTCTTTGAAGATATTTGAGAAGGAATTTAAAAGCAAACCCCCCAAAAAACAATTTCTCATGTCTCTAAGTAGTCTCTTCATTTATATACTTCAAATGATCCATTTTGCTGCAATGACATACAGCTCCACATCTGAAATCTGATGTTTTTTAAGGTTGGTGAGATTTAGAATATTCTGTAGGAAAAGTGCAATTTGCCCTTCTTAATGGAGTTAAAAACTCAAGTTAAAAGAAACATTGGCTGTAAATTTTTTAGTGTTTGGTCTAATCAAAATTTTCTCCCTCCTTTGAAGGAGAATTGGAGCTTGCCTTTCTCAAAGTACAGCTGGGATGAGTTTGTTATTAAAGGGTATTTTAAGTCTCATTCAGCATTATCATTTTTAAAAGTCTTTTTTCATATTCAGTTTTTATCTGAATGTCTTATCCATAGATCAGCATTTTCAACTGTAGTTTTGTTTCCTAGTATCATTGCATTTTACTAAGGTTTATCTTCAACCAATTCCAGACTCAATGTTATCTCATTCATCCACATTAAATCATGTTCTTTGTAGTTTTTACATTTTAATTAAGACATTCAATAACAAGAGCAATGGTAACATCTCCACGTTTAGTTGCCAACAGCTCTATTTGGCTGAAACATTTCTGATTTTTCTGACCTTTGTCCTGTGTCTTGTGCAACTACCAAAGCATCCTGTGCAGCTGTGTCACATAAATTAAATAAGCTGTGTGATTTATAAGACTTCCAGTAACTTGAAAGCAATCCCTTTGGTACTTCTGATGCAGCTGCTTCTCTCTATTGTATCCCACTACTTGCCAGAAAACAAAACAAACCAAAAAATCAAAACAAAAACTCCCTAATGTTCAGCAACAGAGCACAATTAGGAAAAAAAAAAATCCTTTTTTTAGATTTTTTTTTTCTCACTATGGCCTATTCTGGCCACCTTCGCTCCTGTTTTTTTCAGGACTTTCCTGTTCTAGGTAATTCTCCTCAGCAATGAGAGGAAGGTTGCCCTAGGAGTTTCAAACATTTATTCATTTGGAAAGAGAAATATTCTGTCTAAGAAAGTCTTGCTTATAAGGGATGAAAGCATTAGCCACCTAAATTTGCAGCTTCCACAAAACTCTTCCCATCTATTTCATTACAGCATCTGGAGGTCCTTTGGTCAATCAGCCAAAGTTTTCACCAAAATCCATAAGAACTCCATGAGAACCAAGCAGGGGAAATCCTGTTAGCTTAAGCCAAACCCCTTCAAAACAAGTGATAAAAAAGTTTTTCGATTAGTTTTAGTGAGATCTGATGCCCCCCAGATTCTCAACTTGACTCTAAGAATTATCTTCATGGCTATTGCAGATCTGTAGATGCAGCTTCCCTTCCTCTAATCCCTGGTGGGTACAGGGATGGTCTGTGAGTCTTTACGATCTGTCCACCAATTTTCAGTCTATGTATCCAGACATATGAAACTAACAGCAAAACCAAGAAATACAGAGAAGTGCTTTATTAGAAAGTGGTGGTTTAATTCATAGCTAGCCTTTTACACATTGCTTATAGTATGCTATACATAAAAAAAAAGAAGGCCACACCAAAAACCCAACCGTTTTCTTTTTCCTTTTTACTCTCCACAGTGCTATTAATGTGTTACTGGCATTAGCTGCTCTCACTTCTAACATACTCAAGATAATTTAACTATATTGCCTGCCAATCTCGGATTTGCCAGGGACAGGCATTCAGCTTCTGAGGATGATTCTTAGGCTGGCCTTTGTTCCCATTTCTCTCCAATTTTTCATAATTTAAGAGAGAGAAAAAAAATTCATTAGCTATTTTCATAATACAGTAGGTTTACCACTATTCAAAAGCTTTATACTCAGTCATAAGTACTTAAGTAGTCCTTCTAGTCATGGTGCTCTCCTCTGCTCTTTTTATTCTCATCCCGTTTTTCTTGCTAAAATGCATATTATCAGGGAGTACTTCAGTATTTCAGCTTTTCAATAATCTTAATTATATTTATTTCTTCTCCCTGCTTGTCTTTTATCTTAAATTCCCTTACAATCATGTACTCAGAGACCAAACGGGAGTGATGAAGACTTTACTGCCATGGCCAATTTGCCAGTGCTGTTTAGATCTACGGACCTCTTTCCTACAAATGCATCCATGGGTATGATCTAAAAGAAAAACAACCTAAGCTCACATTTTGCATGGTGTAGGCTGGCCAGGTTGGAAGGAGAAGTGTAATATCCTACGAGTTTATTTGGCACTTGAAATCCATTAGTTGATCTGCTGATCTGTGGTGATAGGGGCTGACCCACTATCAAGTGCTGCAAACAGCCTTAGACACTTAAACAAGTGGCATTTATTGACTGGGACTAGAGAAAGTAATTTTGTTTCAGATTAACAGGAATGTGTTCACAGCTGAACTAGAGTAACCTGAGAGCTCATGAAGTCCCTGTGCTGGTCTCAGTCATGTAACATTCTCATTTAAGCAGTGCATATTTGGCAAGCACCAGCTTGCTGTCACCTGCTGACCAGTCTCTTCAGGAACTGTACTAAGACTCATGGCCACACTTCACCTACTTGTGACCCAACTTGTTCCAGATAATCCCAAGAAATTCACATCTCTGCCCATGTCACGCAGCCTTTCTGCCCCGTCTCAAGGTCAATACAAAGAAAAAGATTAAATTTCTAAGTGTAAAATGTGTTCCAAATGTGGTGTGCTCATGCTTCATGATTTCAAGGCTGAGTAATATGAGGGTATTTAAAAGCAAACAGAGAAGGTAGACATTATAGACCTGCTGTGATATATTTCTTTAAGAAGATAAAGACATACCTTGCATTGTATTGGTATGGTTTTCTTGCTCTTCTGTCTTCTTTGTATCTGTCTGATCTATGGTTCTCATGGTGCCTGTACTGCTTATCTTGGTATCGACTCCCGGCAGGAGACATCTTGTTTCTCAGATGTATTCTTTCGTTCTAAAATAACTTCCTGAGTCAGAGAAATAAAACCGGTTCATTTTATAGCTCCCCTTAAAGTTATTCATTGACCAGCACTCACTTCCATTTCAAGCTGATTCAAGAATTAGTACAGACTTCCTTAAGAACCCTTTAAACTACAAGTAAGGTAACTTCATTAAAGCAGGAAGGTTTTCTTTATGTTTTCATCAAGTAAATACAATGTTTCTATACTCAACATTTATTGCACTTTACTTATTTACTAGGTCTGCTCTGACTCTCCTGCCTTTGCTGCCAGGACAAGGCATGGTGTCCACCAAGAACATGAATCTTGGCTTGTCTAATGTTGACTCTTACTTAAAATATTAAGCCCAGCAAGTACCAGTGCCTTGCATGAGTGCTCACATAGCTGCCGCCGGTGGCAGGGCAAGTCTGAAAGGGCAGGCTGTGACCTTTGTCCTGGGAGTTTCTAAGAGGAGAGCACCCATGGGCGTAAACAGAGTCAGTATCAAACGCTGCCTGTGATTTGCATAAACATTAGGTACAGGCAAAGCTGTGCTGGGCAGAAAATAAGGTGACAAGAAGATACACCCTGACAATTTTGTGTTAAATATTATCAGGATGTTATTTCTTGCGTCTTTACCTTTTCAAGTTTGGTACAACTAACCCCAAACCTGTAAAATAGGGAAACGTAGACTTCAAACATCGGAGCAATCTTTATTCTCATTTCCCTTCATCACAGCCCTCCAGCATCCCTGTAGAAATGCCTGCAGACGATTTAATTTGGACTGATCAAGCTGAAAGCTCGCTTAATGACTTCCCTCCATCTCCTTAGGGTGTTAGAAAGTAAATAAATATAAATTTAATATTTAAAAAAATATTAATTTTTATTTGTTTACATCTAAAGCGAAAGAGACAGCGCCTTCCCTGGAGGCGGCTCAGCTCCTCTGCTCTGCGAAGAAGCCATTCCGCCTTTCCCCACGGAAAAAGTTCCCGATGTCGGTCCCGCCACCACAGCGAGCCGAGACCCCCTTCGCCCCCTGGGGCTGGCCCTGCCACGGGCGCTGCCCCGCCACAAATGGCGCACACCAGACGCCTCCCGACGGGGAAGGAACCGTCCCCTTCGCCGCCCACCCGCCGCCTGCTCCTCTGGGAAGAGCCCGTCCCTCGGCACCCCGAGGGCCAAGGCCAGCTCACCTGAGGGGAGCGCTGAGCTCCGTCCCGCCCAGCAGCAGCTCCCGGGAGCAGCCGGCACAGCCCTCCCTTGCCCGGCTGCGCTCTCACCTCCGCCCGCCGCACCTCCCTCCCGCGGCGGCCTGGCCCAGGTGCGGCCCTGCCCGCGCCCTCTTGGGAACGGCAGCCGCGGCGGCGATCAGGATCACAGAATCAGTTGTGTTGGAAAAGACCTCTGAGGTCATCCAGTCCAAGCTATGACCCAACACCACTGTGTCAACTAGACCATGGCACCAAGTGCCACATCCAGTCTTTCCTTAAACACCTCCAGGACGGTGATTCCACCACCTCCCTGGTCCCATTCCAATGTCTGATCACCCTTCATGTGAAGAGATTCTTCCTAATGCCCAAGGAAAACCTCCCTTGGCACAGTTTGGGACTATGTTTTGTTGTCCTCTTGCTAGTTACTTGAGAGAAGAGATCAATCTCTTCGCGTCCCCCCCCCCCCAATCTCCTTTCAGGGGCTGTAGAGAGCAATAATGTCACCCCTGAACCTCCTTTTCTCCAGGATGAACAACCCCAGCTGCCTCAGCTGCTCCTCATAGGACATGTGCTCCAAACTCTTCACCAGCTTCATTGCCTTTCTCTAGGCAACAAAGGGGAAGGAGGGCTGTGGAAGCGGGCTGGTGTCTGGGAGTGTTGACAACCCAGGCTTTATTTAATTTAATAAAATGAAGTTCTAATGCCCCGCAGTGCTGAGGAAGAATCTGGTAACCCCCAGAGAATATAAAACTTGAAGGTTAATAAAGTTGAAATTCAAGGTCCCCACAGATTGCCTTATTGGTTTTTTAAAGCCACCTCCATTGACTGGCAGCATTCAGGGCAGAAAGCCCCACAGGACAAGGTGAACATGGAGGTAAGGAGCTAAACTCTGCTCTGGTGCAGAGCCACATTTTGGATAACCATTTGAATGCATGCAGCCTTCTTTCTCGGTGGTCTGCTGAAAGCCCTCACTATGGTGTATCTGCAGGGGCTTTATCGACTCACTGCCAACCTGTGATGCTTCTCTTACAGAGGAACAATATGTTGGTCCCCTCAGGATGCTTTCTGTTGAGGTTTATAATCTCCTTTTGGAGAGAGCCTGGACAGGCCCCTTGAACCTGCATTGCAACAAATGGCTTGTTGGTTGTGTAGTTCTGTACACAAAAGCAATCTGTCCCTGAGAAAAAGGACGGTGATGTTAACATGGCACTATGCCTGACTAATCTTGAGCCTTGGAAAGCTTCCCTAGGTGGTGGCACTACCCTGCACCAGAGCTGACACCATAAAATCCCTTTCTTTCCCAAGGCTTTCACTGCAGCACACTTGGGGTACCAGCGCTTCTTGGATTTGGCTTTAAGATATGTAACTGTTAGTGCAGTCCCATGCTAGAGCTACATCCAAAATCTCCTGTAAGTAACATACAGGTATCAAAGGAGCTGCTGTCCCTAAAATGAGGAGATACAAGAACTGAATGTTCAAGGCATGTATTTTGAACTGTGGTAAGACTGTAATTCCCAGTTCTACATGAGCTGTGTTAACAGCTTCTTTTGCTGTTTACCATTCTCACCTTGCCTAGACCTCTTCTGCTGTTCCCGCCTTCACATGAACAACTCAGCTTGTCTTCTCCTCTCTGTCTTGCACCAACCCTAGTGCTTGCTTGATCACATCATAATCCAATTCAGCTTTCTCTCCAGCCAAAACCAATTTACTTTCTGCTGGTTTAGTGAATTGAATTGGCTTTGTGCTGCAATCAAATGTGCGCTGGAGCAAGGGCTTGGCAAAAGTACATGTCCCACAGGGAAGAAACTGAGGGAGGGATGGGGGAAGAGGGCTACCTCTCTTGGCAGCACTGAGTGGTGAACGTAACTGAAGCCCTAATGTGAAGTTGCAGCTTGAGACACTACTACCCATCAGTTAGTCGCTACGCCTTCTCGGTTTGTGGCTGTCATCTGGCTAGCAAAGGCAGCCTAACAGCAGGAGTGGTTTACTGTTTCGTAGTTCTGTTTGTTTCTAATTCCCACTGTTTCTGTTTAAAGGTCATTTAGGCTAGTTTGGCAGATTTTATCCTGAAGATTAGGGTGCCTACATGAATTCTGTTCTCCTGTCTAGATGACAAACATTTGGGAAATAGATTCATCACTTGCATCCAGCGGAAGATATCTGCTCTTGATGGGGGGCATGAGGAATTACAGCTCCTTTCTGGTGGGCAGGTTTTATACAAAAGGTTTTAGTCAAAAAATCGCAGGGAGACACCACTGGAAACAGACTTTTTTGGAGGGGCTGAAATACGGAAATATCCTTGACAGCCACTTTTTACAGTATAACTAGTAGTTTTGTTAAAGCATTTTTCTTTCTGGGCTGAAAAGGTTCAGTTGTAGCCATTTTGGTTTGATGGAAGATTGAGTGGAACTGAAGGGATATGATTATGGACTGGCTAAAATTCAGTGAAGCTGATGAGCAAAGTAAGTGTTAAAAAAGTAGTTAAAGTCATTATGGAACCAGGTAGTTGAAATAACAGGGTCACAACCAACACAGAATTACATGGCGAGATCTACATAAAAAAACTGTATGACATAAGGGATTTTCCCTGGGAATTCATAAAGCAAACACAGGGTAGGTAGTGATTGCTGGAGTTGCCTATATATGACATAAGAATATGAATCAAGCCACAGAAAATGATGCTGATGAGGGAGAAACATCCAGAGGCAGCAGTAGGACTGTGTCTCTAAGGAGAAAATCATGAAGGGATTGGATATGGTACTGTCTAAATTTGAATGAGAACCACGCAGGAAAAAGATATGATTATTTGTTCTTACCTTATTGGAGGTAAAAGGATGCTGTGTTGTATGTAAGCAGAAGGGTTTCTGTCAGAGATATACCTGATTCTGTCATCAATTCCTCCTTTAAATAGAAATAACCTTTGGGACTGAATTTTGGCTAACTGATGAAGTCCAGGGGACTGATGTGCAGAAAATGAAGTGTGAATAATTTCTATACTTTTTTTTTCTGGTAATTTACTTGAGTAGGTCACATCTGTGTCTTGGATCAACACAGTCCTGGATACTTGCTCTAGTCTAACAAAACAGAACAAAACAAAACAAAAACCTAAAAACCAATCTAGGTATAGGATACAAAGTGCTATAAATAGACCTCCAGGGACAGATTCCTCCAGGCAGGCAGGCAGGCAGGGCACCACTGGAGTCTGTTCAGTTTGACAGGAACACTAAGCTCCTGAGATCAGCAGGACTAAAATTAGCTTTGGAACACTTTTTTCTGCCCTCGTGGTGTTGCTTTTATATGAAATCTGTTGTTTATTGTTATAAACAACACAGAAATATTTGGGTTGAAGGCTTTTATTTCTTTTTTCTTTTCTTTTCTTAAAGAGATTTTGAAATCCCTGGTCTTTGGAATGGGAGGTAAATTGAATTTGGGAACTAAGTAATTGGTTATGTGTTGGTCAAGTTTTTTCTTTCTTAGTGAGAAAAAAAAATCACAACACCAAAAATTGCTTCAGCCATTGCTTCAACCAAAGAAGTGTAAACAGTCACAAAGGATTTAATATTAATATAGTATCCTTGGTGTGTGTTATTATGAATACTTATTTTTAAAAGCAATGGAACCAGTCCTAGGCCTTCTTTTATTGTTGTCTTTGGTAATGTGTGAATTGTTTGGTTGGTAGTTATTTCTCTCACAAGGCTGAGTCCTTCCCAGCATCTTCTGAGCAATTGCCTATACAATAACTTTCTGAAAGTGGGATTTTGTCTCACTGAATCTAGGCTCTGACTGGGGAATAGTTGACTTCTGGGACATATCCAAAGCAGGCTGAAGGCAGTGAGGATGTTTCTATTGAACCCTTGAATCCTAAAAGGCTGTTATCTGTGGGCCCCTTCGTATTTATATCAGCTTGAAGTACGGAGCCATAACACCAGCCTCGGTAATGCTCTGCATCACCACAGCTGTCAGTTTCATGCTGACTTTCCTCAAATTCTGCTGTTGCTGGCCACCCAAGCTGTATCTGAAACCTTATAATTAATTTTCTTTTCCCCTGTTCCTAAGTGGAGTTGTAGTAGGCTAAAGCCATTTTTCTCCTTCTAAAATGTTGAGCGAAACCACACCGGCTTTTGAAATCTGAGAAACTGTTAGCATCAAAATTTCTCCCTCATTTCTTAGCAGTCCTTTCTCACAAATTCCATCTATGTCATGCTGGACTTGGGGGAACCCCTGTCTGCGTAGATCTTGGAGACTATCTGCAACCCCATACTTAGTTTTCCATAATAATTTACCACTTAAATGTAAATGTAAAAGTACTTCAGGACTAAAATTTGCTTTCAGAGGACTTTTAGATCCTGTGTAGATCACTGCAATCTCGACTGCTCTTAAATTCACACTGGTGGACCTTTGTGAGGTGCCTTTGTCTTGACCATCCCGGAGGTCTCAGCAGTCCCGGGCTTTGGATTCTGTGTACCAGCTTGCAAATTGCATAAAATTTAAGCAAGAGTAGCTATCTGGGAGCTCAGGCCACTTTTCTGTCTCTTGGCATGAATATATTGCATTCCATTTTATATTAGTAAAATATTTATGAAGTTTTATTAACATGGAGGGGCTCTTGCTCTTTCACAAGAGGTAGGAATTATGAGCAGCCTGCCTTCTCTCTGATTTAATCTACTCTCCAATCTAGTGTTTTTCTTTTCTCATCTGGAAGTAGATAAAATCCAATAACAGGGTATTTGTTTTGTGGTCAAAACTATCAGGGTTGGAGTCAACACTCCTGGCAGTCACTGGAAAGATTTCTTGTGCATAGAAAATTTATGAACACATGAAGATGCTGGGTTCAGTAATCTGGCCTTAAAAGGTATTCAAACATTTTCTTCCTGATCAAAACACATAATCCTGTGCAGCTCTGAGCTATTTACATCTGGTTGGTCTGTCTGGAGCTTTAACATTGGCAATTATGTGCGTTAAGGAGGGAAAAGAGGCATTAAATTTAGGTGTCCAGTTCATGCAAACAATTTGTCACACATTCTTTTGACCTCCAGAAAAAGAAATGCAACAGTGGCATCCTGTGGCCCTAGCAGTTCAT